GTTCATCAGATTATAGTAATTTATACTTATTTCTTTTCATTTAATCTTTTGATGTTCAGTGCAGTTATTGTTAAGTATGAAATGATTGCAGACATTTTCTGTTTGTTTTTTTGTGGTGCTGCTGATTTCTTTAGTTTGCATGGTTTCCTGTGCTAAATTCATTTTTTGTGTGTGCTTTTTCTTGCCAATTCCTTCATTGTTTTAATGTTTTGTAAATTGTCCTAGATTTTCCTTTTTTAGCTTTGATATGAAGCTATATTAAGTTTCTTTGAGGATACCCTTTACTTTATTAATTTATTCCTCATTTTAAAATAGTCACTTTTTCCTAAAGTCTACTTGGCTTCCTCACCACTAGGAACGCTATAAGTATACTTTTACCTCCCTGAGCTTTATAGTTGTCTTGATATCCCAGACTCCGTATTCTCCATCTTGTAGTTTTTTTCTATTCCAGACACTTTCATATCTTGACTGAATTCTGCATGTTGTTGCCACATAGATCAGTCTCTGTTTTTTTTTTTTTGTTGTTGTTGTTGTTGTTGTTGTTTTCCTGCTCTTGTTGGTTCTCAGTCAAGAATCCCTTTAGTTTATTTTGGAGCATTGTCTTGCTTTTACAAAGTGCTTTGACTTTTGTTTATCCTGAAATCTTCTAATTTGGCTATCATATTTGCTGGACGTTGTGCTGGATATAATTTTCTTGGTTGGTAGTTTATTCTTTCAGTGTTTAGTGTATGCATTCCCATTGCCTTCTTGCTTGCATGGTTTCTGCTGAGAAATCAGAGCTTAATTTTATTGGCTTTCCTTTATGTGTAAAATTTCCTTTTGCCTTGGCTGCTTTCAGAATTCTTTCCTTATCTGTTATTTTAGAGAGTTTGACCACAATATGTCTTGATGATTTTCTTTTGTGATATATCCTTCCTGGGGTTTGAGTGCTTTTCTTCTCATCCTTCATTATGTTAGGGAAATTTTCTTCTAGCATCTCTTTGAGTGTCTTTTCTGTTGTTGTTGCTGTTTTTTTTAATCTCTTCCGCTTCTGGAATTTCAATTACCCGAAGATTATTCCTCTTCATGTTGTTCAATGCGAATTTTAGTCTTCTTCACATTTTTTCTTTTTTTCCGATTGTTCTTCTATCATAGCAGTATTGAGAAAGTTATCTTCAAGATTGCTAATTCTGGCCTCCATTTATTCAGTTCTTGTCCTTTGCCCTTTTCAGTTTATTGTCCATTTCTGACATTTTTATATTGATCATCTAGATCTCTGTTTGGTGGTTTTGTGTTGTTTCCAACGCTGTATCTATTTTGTTTGATTGTTCCTGTAGTGATTTTCTGAATTTTTCCTCTTTTTCCTTGACCTTTCTGTACTGTATTGGATGTACCTCAATATAATTCTCCTGAATTATTTTTCAGGTAGTTTCAATGCTTTTTCTTCATCAGAAGCATTTTCTAGTTCTTCCTCTTCGTTGTCTTGTCTGTGTGTGAACAAAAATTTTCTGTTGCCTTTTTGCATGTTAGAATCCTGGTGTGATGCTGCAGCCTA